CTGTCGTATGTTGAGGTCTGGTTTTCTTATCCTTCTTTTTCTTTCTTATCTCTAAAGGAAGGAAGTATCTCCATCTGATAATTAAAGTAACAACATCAACAATGCATATTAGCACAAAACAGCACACACGGGTGCTCCTACACACACACACACACACACACACACACACACACACCAGATACTTAGTTGAGTGCCTTAATAGATTAATTAATGTAGTTCCTAAGAGAGCTCCATAAATTAAATATTGTTATTATTCCTATTTTGGAATAGCAAAGAGAAGCTAGTTGCTTTGCCAAGTAATGTATATAGTTCCATGTGAATTCATGTCTTTAGCGATCTGATTGAACAGCTTGAATTTTGCATATTATGAAAATAACATAGTAGGATTTATTATTTAGGTATTATTTATTATATGGCACACAGCTCAAGTGGATCATTCATTTAGGCCAGGAAAGTCATGGCAGCAAGCAGGAAGGAACTGCATGTCAGGAGAAGCAGGAGGTTGGCTAGCCAGTTTGTGTCCAGTCAGAAATCTAGCAGTAAACAGGAAGTGATAATAAACTACAAACATCAAGCCCCACCCCTTGTAACCTACTTCCTCCAGCAAGGTGCATCTCCTAAAGGTTCTATAACCTTCGGATACACACCACTAGTTTGGAACTAATTGTTCAAATGCATGAGCCTCTGGGGGGACACTGCATATTCAAAGCACAGCATTCTCTTTCCCCTGTAAGTTACTGGCCATCTCATGATGCAAAATGCATGTTTGCAGTTTCAAAATCCTCATAGTTTAACAGTTCTAGCTTTGTGTTCAACTGCTACAAAGAGACTCAATGACCACTACAACTCTTACAAAGGAAAGAATTTAATTGGGGCTTGCTTACAATCTCAGAGGCTTCAGTCCATTGTGTCATGTGAAAGCATGGCAGTATGTAGGTTGTCGTGGTGCTGGAGAGTAAGCTGGAGAGTAAGCAGTAGCTAAGAGTACATCTGGATCCATTGGCAGCTGGAAGAGAGAGAGCCACTGGGCCTGGCTTGAGCTTCTGAAACCTCAAAGCCCACCCCCAGTAACACACTCCCACAAACAAGGCCATACCTTTCCCAAAAAAAGCCATATCTCCTAATCCTTGTAAGTAGCATCACTCCCAGATGACCAAGTATTCCCATATATGAGCCTATAGGGACCATTTTTATCCAAACCACCACAAGTCCCAACATTATTCAAAATCAAAAGTCTCTTCTGAGGCTCAAGGTAGTATTTTAACTGTGATTCCTTGTATAATTAAAAAATAAAACGAATTGTATGCTTCTAGCTACCCAATGGCACAGAAACAAATATCCCTTCTTCAAAGGAGAATGTCAAACTGAAGCAATTACCCAAATCCAGCAATGCAAACAATTCCTACAGCTCCATGGCCAGTGCCTGGTGTTCTTAATGAAGTCATCTGAGCCTGTGGCACACATTGTTTCTCTCAGTCTAGCTCTACTCCAAGCCCTCAACTCTCTCCTTGCCAGCATTCCAGGGTCCACAGAATCTCCGAGTCTCTTTTGCAACATAGGTTTAACTTCATGGTTTCATACAGTGACCTTCCACAGCCTCCTTGCAGGCAATCCTACTTGTACCACATTGCCTGGTAGCTTAGTAACTTTTCTACTGCTACACTAAGATATCATGACCAAAGCAACTTATAGAAGAGAATGTGTATTGGAAGTTTACAGTTGCAGAAGGTAACCCATGAATATCATGGCAGGGGGTATGGCTGCTGGCAGGCAGGCATAGTGCTTGAGCAGTAGCCAAGAGCATACATTTGATCTATGAGGCAGAACAGTAACTAGGAATGCTGTGGGCTTAAAACCTCAAACTTCAGTGACACACCTGAACCCCCAAGGACGCACCTCCTAATCCTTCCCAAAGAGTTCCAACAACTGGGGATCAAGCATTCAGACATATGAGTCTATGGCACCATTCGCATTCAAAGCACCATGCCCGGCTCTTAGAAATTGTGACCTAAGACTGCACAACTCCCTCAATTTAAGACTATTCATGCACATAAAACCAGTACAACATGGATATTGTCACTGTGTTGGTTTGCCAGCTTGAAAGATACCCTGCCCACCGTGAGCCACAGTTTCAATGAACTCCATGTGCCTTCCGGGCTGACCCTTGAAAACCCTCTGAGGATGGTGTTTGGGCACAGGGAACCCTTTCCATGGTATTCTCAGAAGCCCTACTTTCAAATGTAAGTCATATTTTTTCATAAGATGGAGCCTTACAGTTTGTTGTCTACAACTTAAACTTGCTCTAAATTTTATGTTTTTCATTTTGTTGTTGTTTTTGCCACCTCTCACATGTGCCACGTCCTGAGAACTAGCCTATCTTGAAATTTCCTACACAAAAGAATGTCCACTACATTTTAGTCAAGTCACATACAAGTTCTCAGGACCTGGGCAGAAGCCAGCCAAGTTCTTTGTCACACTGAAACAGGAATGGCTTTTAGAATCTGTACCCCTCACCAAATATCTCATGAGCTAGGGCCCCACTGTCCACATTTCTCTTACTATTCCATTTTTCCACCAGGATGAACCATTAATATCCACTTATATCAACTTAGAGATTCTGTAGCTCACAGCTGCGAATTCTTCTATATTCCTCTTCCAACTGGTTCCAAAGCCTATGAAACATTACATGGTTACATTTACCCCAACGATAATGCTATCTACCACAATAATTTTCTGTATGGGTTACTTTCCTGATTGTTATAGCCAAATACATGACAAGAAACGGTTAGCCAGGATGCGTTATTTTGGCTTTCCTTTACCTTTCAAGGGGATTGCTCCATTGCTTCGAGGAGGACATGACAGCAGGAAGAGAAGGAATGATGGTAGTAGGAAGAGGGCATCTTATTACATGCTACATTACAGTCCAAAAGCCGAGAATGAACAGCAAGTAGTATCTGGTTATAAAGACTCCCATTGATTGACCAGTGAAGAAGCTCCATCTCCTGAACATTCCACAGTATTTCTAAACCACCATCATTTGTAACAAGGTCCCCATCTCAGAATATCAATCTCCCACACTCCCCTGCACTCTCTTCTTCTCTCCTTCTCTCTCTTTATTTCTGAAGACTATTTATCCTTAGATTTTATTCTTGGTTATATCCTTTGTGAAAACCAGATTTATCTGCTAAGATAATAGGAACAGAAATAAATAGACTTTTAATGAAGTACCCTGTGATAACATGTTTAAGATTTGATCTGCAGCTATGGGGACCATACCATTATAACCTGTTGCACAAAAGGACTTTGGGGGCACATCCCCCATGGAGGGATACTCCCTCAACCTAGATACAGGAGAGAAGTCCTCTTCCCTCTAAGAACCTCAGTGAGGCCTTTCTAGAATCATGTCAGAATTTGCTTGGGTTTTTTTTTTAGAGATAAGTCCCCTAAAACCATAGGAAGACCCTAGGAATGTGTTCCCTGGGAATTTCTTCATCTGAAGCTAGTCTACACTCGGCCTCTCATGATCCATTAAAACTACCACATAGATGTTTGTAGGGCACTGAAGGCTGTGGAGGCTTTTCCTCAAAGCCATGAGGTCTTAAGTATGCCTCCTTAATGCACTTAACTCTCCAAATTGCCTACAGGAGATTTAAACTGTAAATTCAGTGTCTCTAGGTCCAAGGAAAGTCTGCCTTCAATTTGTCCAGGTCTTTCTTGTTAATTTGGGAGTGATGACTCCCAGGGTCTTTGTTTATCAAGATAAAACTAGGAAGTCCTCATTCAAGCATTAAATTTAGGCAAAATTTCCACTAGGATTTTTTTTCTTATGGGTTTGTTTGTTTGTTGTCTATTTTGCTGGGGGGGTTGTTGTTCTTCCTTTTTTCTTTCCATTACAATCTTCTGAAATGATTGAGTATATTAGTGTGTTCTGATTCCTTCCTTGTTTATTTTTTTGGTTAATCTAGTATGCATTTCTGCCATTAAACTTTCAGAAAAAAAAATTTTATTATGAAACTGTTTTTGAAATGCTAACAACTTAGTATGACTACAAAGATAAGAATAGACACAAATGAAAAAGAGAAAACATACCAAAAAATGCAATCTTTGCCTTCTCACATTTTGAATTATAGATTTCCTGTGTCATGTTGTTCTATATTGCCTATCTCATCCCTAATGGTGTAGTTATTGTATCAGAATTGTTTAGCTTTTTAATCTTTATACCAGAGATCTGAGTGGCTTACTCACTGCATATACCATGTTTGAACTCCATCTTGGAGTAGTTTGTGTAATTGCTTTTACTGCTGAGTTTTACAACTTCCCATATTTTCTTCTTGTTCATTAAGATTTTTTATTAAGTATTTCTTAATGTTCAGTTTGAAAATTTTCTTTTAGCTTTTCTTTATATGGCAATGTATTTACTCCTTCATTTCTAAATAACAGCTTTGCCTGATATTTAATCACATTGACTGTTTTTCTTCTGTATTGTAAAACTTTCATGCTGAACTTTTACAGTGATCTAGAAAAACAAGAAGTGTCAAGCCCACTCCAAGCCAGTAAATGTATTCACACAGTTTCTTTCTAACCCCATCTGTCCTCTAGGCTCCTTTTTTACTCTGTTCAGATTCAGAGACTGCCCCTCACCTTTCAAAGGTGGGGGACAACCTCACAACTGGCTTCAAAATCAACCCTCAATGTCAATATCCCTGTTGTCCCAGTGAGAGGCAACAATGGTCGGCTCAAAGGTGCTAGGGTCAGATTTTAAAAGACCAGTCAGGATAAGAATGGATAAGAAACAAAAATAAAGAGAAAATAACATTTTAACTCATCTGGATGAGAAAGTGTGTGTTAAGTGGAAGATTTTCAGATACACAGTTGCAGTCTCAGTTGCCAGGCCCATAGTTATCTAAGACAGATATTAATGTTTCAGTGAAACCTCTTTGATCAATTTCTAGAGATGGGAAGATGGGCAGCCAGATTATTTTGCTAAGAACGCAGCCAGGCACGGTTTGGAAAACAATCTTTATTGCATATGATTACGTGTCCGACTGAGTGTTGGTCTTTTCATCTTCCTTTATACTATTGCCATTCTGTCTGCGTCCACTGCCGCCTTGGTGGTCCTTTCTTCTTCCTGGGTTGGAGAAAATAAATAGAGTAGAACAAGAAGAGATGAGAAATGCCATGACTACTGCTAATAGATTACCCTTCACTTCTATCTGATCTCTGTAGTCATGCACACACCACACTGAGTTCATTTCCAGCTCCTCTGCAGCAAAAAGTTCCAGAACATGCCCAGGTTTCTTGAGAGAAACTCCTTTTCTCCTCTGCATTCCCGTTTTCCCCACAGGGCTATGACCGTGGACCAAGAAGCCTCAGATCCAAACCTCTGATCCCGCTGGGTTGGTCCCTATCCTCTCTCCAGGCCATTCCTGTCCCCCGAGGTTGTGCTGAGCTGTGTGACCAAAGGAACAACACAATTTCCTTTTAAAGTAGAGGACCAACCATCATGCAGGAAGAGAAAAAGTTCCCAGTCAAAACTCTCCAGTTTCTCACTTAATAAAGGTCATTTTCCCTGGGAGAACTGGCTATGCCTCCAAACAGCCCAGCACAGCCCTGCTTTCTGTTCTGTATGCTATTCTGTGATACTCCTATTCCTGTGGGCCTTACCTCTAGCAAGGGATGGCCACCCCATTTTTTTCCAGGATCCTCTAGCCCCAGAATCTCAGTGGCTGTGTGGAAACCAAAATAAGGACACTTCTTAATGAGTAAAAGTGCTCTGTCAGCCCTTAGAAATGATCTGAACTTCCTGCAGGAGCTGGAAAACTCAGGACAAATCCCAACTGAATGTTAAGATTCCTGAGTGAGAAGGAGAGAGCCTGCTTAATCCCCCTTCTGGCGCTCCCAGAGCTGACAAACCATGCCCCCATCTTCCTGATGAAGGCGCAAGCTTGCACTGGACGGACAGATTGCTCAGCCGACCCAGCCCTTGCTCACTTCTGTCCTTTGGAGAATCAAACATACAGCCTGGACACTGGCTCCAGGGTTGCTTCGTCCCGTTTTCCTCTGTGGGCTGCTGCTCCTCAGCCTTCTTTGCCTTGTGTTTCTCTTTCTCCTTGTTGTTGTTCTCTTCCTCCTTCTGGGTGCTCTCTGGTGTCACGTTGCCGATCAGCTGCGCCATGGTGAGGTGGAAGACGTGGCAGCTGAAGCCCTCCCTGATCCCGTACTGCACATGCTCTTGGAGGCTCTCTATGGTGGCAAAGCCTCTGCAACAGGCCATGCACCTGAAGCCATTCTCCATGGTAACCAGCCAGTCAGGCGTCTTGGCCCTAGGTCTCTCTTCAATCATGGGTGACCCAGGTGGGCTGTCTGACTCTGGCTTTTCTTCATGTTCTTTTTCTTCCCCGCTGGGTTCACTGTCCGACAGGGGATTTCTGGTGGACACATCGGAGGGTGGGGTGCCCACCCACACACCCTCAGGAAGGGTGGCTTCTTCCATCCTTGGTTGCTTTTCTGGGGACTCTGAGGTTTCCTTTGTGTCCCAGGAGACAGCCACACCTTTTTTCATTTGTACCTGCATGTAGTATATTTTCATACCCTTATCCTCTTTGTCTGTACACAGGGAGGACACACAAGTCTTATAAGATGGACAGGATGAGAAGGGACGTTTGGAGGTGATATTAGTGGCATCTCCTTCTGGAACCTGGTCTAGTGGTAGTGTAGACTTGGAACTGTCTTGTTGTGATTGCCGGGTTCCTGGTAATTGAAATTAGAAACATAAGAGCATCTTCAGAGAGGGACCATGAGTGAGAGTATGTGCGACACAGGAAAAGCGTCCTTGGGGTGATATGACTGAATGATGAGCTTGGTGTTTACTATTTGCTTTATGTGGTGGTGTATGCGCTGTCGGTTTTTTTGTGTATAGGGATATTAGCATATGATGTGTACTTAGGAGTGTGGAGTATGATAGCACGAAATGAAACGTGTATGAAGCAGAGGTAGACTGTGTGTGCTGTGAAGATGAGATCCCGTGACCTCACTGTTGTGACATTTGTGGCATGCAAGCTATGGTGCTCAAGGACAGCATCATGGGTCATACATTTTCATGTTGGGTATGTACTGAGAATGTACATATCTGTGTGGAATGTGGCTGTGTGTGAAGTCTATGAGTCCATGCTGGGTAGTCCCACTGGCTATGCTGAGCAACTATGCAGAACTCTGAATGCAGATCCAAAAGCAGAAGCCACACAATTCTACTAAAGGTGCTTATCTGGTCCCTCAGCCTGCTGCCCCAAGCCCAGACCCTTCTATCTACTGTTTCGTGACTTCTCGCTATGAAGCCATGGCTCATAATCTCCTACACCAAATGCCAACTCCCTAGCAGCTCTGAATTGTATGTAGTTTCCTCTATAGAACCTCTATAGAGCAGTCCCAACTTCCCTGGACTTCCTCTCAACCTTGTCCTTGAATCTATATGCCTTTTGCACTGCACTCTGAGTCCCGCACCCAAAGAGTTTCACCCAGGAAGCCCCATACCCAAAGTGTGTCACACCCAAGGAGCCTCGCACCCTTACTACGATGGATGAGCTTGTGTGGAGAAGAAACACAGGAGAAGTATTCTGAGGCAGAGGAGACCTCCCCTACCCCTGGGCTCTGGGCTTTGGCCACTCCAGTGGATTCGGGCTGGGGGACATCCTCTTGTGACTTTGAAATCCCTGAGAAAGGTATAAAAGACACAAAGATATGGTGGTTGGCCATGTTTGTACATCATTTACCTATCTAACAAATATTTACTGGTGTCTGACAGAATTAGCAATTAAAATTAATGCACATGGCTTGGAATCTGGCCCTAATGGGTACTCTAGTACTCAATCACAGCCACAGTTATTTTATTAGTGTCTTCATTTAAAAAAATGTAAGAGTAGGGGCTGGAGAGATTGCTCAGTAGTTGAGAGTACTGGCTACTCTTGCAGAGGACCTGGATTTGATTCCCAGTGCCCACATCGTAGCTCACAACTGTCTACAACCCCAGCCACAGAGGATCCAATACCCTCTTCAGGCCTCTGCAGGCACCACACATACACTTGATGCATAGATACACCTGCAATTAAAAAATCATACACATAAAAATAAATAAAACTTTAAAAATAAATAAGGCCAGAGGGTGATGGCACATGCCTTTAATCCCAACACTTGGGAGGCAGAGACAAGGGGATCTAGGAGACCTCAGTGAGTCCAAGGCCAGCCTGGCCTACAAAGCAAGTTCCAGGATAACCAGGGCTGTTACATGGAGAAACAATGTCTTTAATTAATTAAAGTGACATATACAAGACATCCTTTAATAAATGTGATGTGCTGAAAACAGTAGAAATATGGTCTCTCGGTAGGGAAAGAGCAGTTAGGGAATATGTAACCTTTCCTTTGTGGCCTATGTTTGTTAAGTATGTTTCATTCACTAAAGAAATATTTAATAAATAACTATTATGCATGAGGCAATTTCTAGGCTCTGAGAATACTGAAGTCCATCTTTGAACTGGGCTTGAAAAGCAGGCACTGAGCAGAAATAAGTAAATATATGGTAGGTCGGTTTATGGTGAGTATATAAGGATTACCAGACGTAGTAAATAAAGATGCCTGATATACAATTAAATTAGAATTTCAAGTAAGCCACAGACAGATTCTTAAAGTAGATATGTCTATATGTCTTATAGAGTACTTAGTACACATTCATACTAAACAATCATTGTAACTTACCTAAAATTCAAATTTAAGTATAGTCTATATTTTATTTGGCAACCATAAAAAAAGGTACAGATGATTCTTTGTTTTATTGTGGTTTTTACAAAGCAGGCCTGGTGTTGTTACACATATAGTGTTTCTCAGATGTGACATACTATCATATGACTGGCCCTAATATATGGTATTTTGGAATATCCTAAAGCATTTATGTTTATGTGGTACTCACATACACACACAAACACACACACAGTAGAATTCAGTGTGTGAAGAGAAGACATCATATACATGGACATGTGTGCGCAGGTAGAGGGATGGAGTGTTATATAGCCATTGTTCTCAAAGTATGAAGGTGTGGCACATCTTTCTGTATCAGAGCACATAAGAGAAATGGGTGGCTATCTCATGGAAGACCCTTATGAGAGCTTTAAATATGTCACCACATGCACTGAGTGTCAGCCGAGTGTAGGGAAGAATACAATAACTTCACCTTCCGTACTTCAGACTTAGTGACACTCTCCCAATAAAGACACTTGGGCAAGACATTCTAAAATGTAAGGGAACGTGGGGGAGTCAAAGCCCCTCGCCTTCACTTTCCTGGAGCTGCCAGTTAGAATTTGGCAGTGCTTCCAGCTGCTGCTCTGTTCTCTGGGCTCAGCCCACAGTCTGTAGCCCAGGGCCCATGGAAGCTGAGGGGTTCTACTTGGGACAAAAGTCACCATCTCAACAGCTAGGCTGGGCTTGATTCGACCCTGCTTCCTACACATGACAGCCCTTTATAGCAAGCCACTTATTTTTTAATTATGTATTTATTTTTATTATATAGGTGTGTGTGTGTGTGTGTGTGTGTGTGTTTTGCCTGAATGTATTTATGTGTACCATTTAAATTCCTGGTGCCCAATGAGTTCAGAAAAGAGAATCTAATCCCCTGGAACTGGAGTTACCGATGGTGGTAAGCCACCATGTGGGTTCTGGGGCTGAAACCCAGGTCCTCTTGCAAGAGCGGTAAGTCCTCTTAACCATTGAGCCCTCTCTCCAGCCCACAAGCTATGTTTTTACATGCAATAATTGCAGTTATCGTGCATCCTAGGAAACAAGCCAGCAACTATGAGTGTCCTCTGCTTTCTCTAGGGTCCTGGTGAGTATCACCCCATCTGTCATGACCTTGGTCTCCAATCAGACCCTTTCCTTTCTTTTCATTTTCTCTGGAAAAGCTAAAAACCTGCACATCCACAGACTCTAATGGGCCACTTATAAATATTTTCTACTCAAGGAATAAAATCTTCATGGTCTTAATATGGCATCAACCCTAGACCAACCCTTAACCTTTTGAATATGCATTTTATTTCTCAAAATATTTCTCAGGCCCTTTAACTCATTAGACTACTCTTTACTCTGTCCTAAAAGACTTGGTAAAATTCAGTTTTCTAGCAGTCCCCATCAAGTCTCCAAGGGGATTTATTATTCCAAGGGGGAAAACATAAAAGAATAAGAGATATGAACTCAGAAAGGGATCTCTGAAAATCTGCACCTCTGAGTCATATACCTGGGACCTCAGCAAGCTTGTAAGTCCATAGTTCCAAATGCCAGTGCTCAGGAAATTCCAAAGTTCATACAACAACACAACTGACTATCTTTCTGCTGTGGGAACTGTCTCACACCACTGAAACCCTAGAGATAGATCTGGCTGTATCAGCTGATAGGTGATTACTGCCTTTCTGCTTCACCTGAATCGTCCTCAGTCATTCCTGGGCAGCTCAAGCCAACCAGCATCCCTTGTGGCCCCAGACAAGCTGCCCAGCACGTACCTCCTGACTTCTCATCAGCTTCCTCGGACTCTTCAATTTCCAGATGTTTCCTCTTTTGTCGCCGTTTCATAGTATCAGCCAAAATAGTCCCTTAAAGGATACTTAAAGTCCAATTTCACCTTTTCTCTACAGGTTGGCAGTCCCTTTTTTCCCTTCAGGAAATCCGTTAAGATAAGTCAACTCAAATTTAAAATAAAAATAATCAAGTCTCTTAACTGGCTGAAGAACTCAGATCACTTAATCAAACAGCAGCCCTGCCCAGTGTTCACTACACTGCATGGCTGTTAAGGGTCAAAGGTTACAGGCCTACTGGAGCATTCTCAATGATGACATCAGAGAATTCTATGGACCTCAGTCTAGCATAGTAGCCCCTACAGCTTCAGAAACCCTCTTTGCAAGAACAATTCCTTTCCCCCCATAGAATCTCTCTAAGGAATTCAACTCTGGTCTCTCAATTGTGGCAGAATAGTTTAAATGTTAACATGTTTCTACTTCACTTTTTTTCTTTTCTCCTCTTATTTCACCCTTTCATTTCTGCCCTTCAGCAGGTAGCAAGCTTTGTGATCAATGCTCATTTCTCAGAGCAGAGGTATTGGCATGGCTGAAATTGTTGATAAATTGTCTTAGAGCCGCAAACTTTGCATAAAACAATACTGAGCCAGAAATATAGCATAGGTAGAATTATTTTTTTGGATTCACGTTCTTCTTATTCTACTGAAGGTATGAAAAACACCAATTAGATCAGAGGCGTATGTAAACCGTGGGAAAGAGGGGCCTTGATATATAGCTGGGGAGATAGATACATAAAAAATGCCAAAAGGAGACTGCTGCATTGTCCAAATAAGAGACAGAACCATGCCAACCTGTCCTACTTAAAGTTCAGGAGCCATGACGGTCAGGTACTCTGATAGCCACCCTCAAAGCCACAGTCCTGCATGATTTCCAAAAACAGATGGATAGAAATACACACAAAGCAAGAAAAGGAACAAAGTTCAAACTGACAGTTAAGTGGAAGTGGGGGCGGGGGAATGGCACGCCACTTCCTCCAGACAAGCTAGATATTCTCCAGGAGTAAGGCAGCAAGGCTACTCCGGTATCTAACACCCAACAAGTGAAACCACTCTAAATTGACCCACAGGGAGCACCCTTGGGAACACATGGGCATACTGTGGACTAAGAAGCCTCGATACAGCACAGATCTAGTGAGTCACTACCCATCATCAAAATCAGACTATTTCTAGATTTGAAGGAATCACAAAGTGATTTTTTTGCCTTGTTCTAGAGACTATAGTTTGATATAGTTATAAGAATAGTTCTCTGCTACTAAGAGCAAGAATAGCAAGGGAGAAATGCATAAGGGAAAAACCACCGAGAAAGTACTTGATAATGTGACTCAGAGCAAGATATGTCTGTACCACTTGGCACTAGTTTTCCTTCAAATAATAAACATGATCTCCAAGGCCAAAATTAGCATTGAGGACTCATTTTACATTGTCACCTTTAAGACAAGGATGGCTTCTCCTTCGGGCTCTACCTCAATCTGACTCCCTCTACCAATTTCTCCACACGATCTTTGAAGAATCTGGAGAAAGCATCCACCAGGCACCCAACTCAGAGTCAGAGTATCAAACCTAGACATATATTTTAAACTACAAATCCTTGTCATTATGGGTCAAGAAGTTAGAGAAGAGGAACATGTAGAAAGGACAAGAAGAAGAAATCACTCTTTATTTAAGTTATTGAAATGTTATGACAGGAATATACCAAGGTATAATTTATGTAAAAATGCCCATATATCGAAACCCCAGGTACCCTTCCACACCCAGGAGGTCAGCATTATCAAGAAGGAAAAAGAAGACACCACACACCCTATAAACATTAAAAAAAAAGTTAAGACAGCAATACCACAAATTCTCTGTATATAAATTTGGTAACTACGATGAAATAGAACAACTCCTCAGAAAACACAATCTATTGCAACACATACAACATGAAATAAAGTGATAAAGTGCATAATTTTGTAACTATAAAGGAAGTCAGATGTATGGTTGCTAAACTTTCAAATGAAATCTCCATGACCACATGATTCTACCAGAGAATTCTATGATGTATTCTGAGAAGAGTTAATATCAGTTGTATACAACCTTTTACATGAATACAGAAGACTTCTCAGTTTTTTTTCATGAAGGCAGTAGTACCCTAACCAAAACAAGGCAAAGATAATACAACACACACAAAAATAATTGTATACTAGCATTCCTGACAGTAAAGATATAAAAATGCTCAACAAAGTATTAACAATATAATTCAGCAAAGTATAAAAGCAATTACACTCAATAAAATACTGGAGTATTTTTCCAAGGATATAAGGCTGTTCTAATATTTGAAAGTCAACCAGTGTTGTTGATTGTATTAGCTAGCTAAGAAAAGATATTATCAGGCTGGATAGATGGCTCAGATGTTAAAGGCTAGGCTCACAACCAAAAATATAAGAAAAGATAATATCTTCATGCTGTAGTTTGGATGTGATTTAAATCACCAAGAGATTCATATATTCAAAGCATGGTTCCCAGGATGGCAGTAACAGGAAGGGTAGATCTTCTAAGAACCTAGACCTAACAGAAAATGGCCCTAAGTCCCTGGGAAAATATTCTCAGATGGGAACCAGGTAGTTTTCTTACTACTGCATGGTAGCTGTCAGAAGAGTGGTAAGTCAGACACCAGGTTCTGTGCTTCCTGGCTGAGATGTGACTTTTCTTCCCACGTGCACTACTGCTATGATAGCACTATCTATTGCTGAGCCTTCAAGAGAGGCTGAACCAAGACCCCCTGGTTCTGGACTTTGGATCACTAGACAATGGAGAAAAGAATGTTATAAATGGCTTGGTGATACATTGTGTTGTACTAACGGAAACTGGCTACTACTCATTGCCACTAGTACAACAAAATCACATGGAAAATACCGAGTGTGTGTGTGTGTGTGTGTGTGTGTGTGTGTGTGTGTGTGTGTGTTTAAGTCTCATACAAATATGAGCATCGGGAAATTTCTAAGCTCAATAAAGAGATCTACATAAAACCTGCTGCTAAGATTATAATAGACTTAATAATAAACTACTGAACATTTTCCCCCTTAAGAATGCAAACACAGCAAATTTGTCTTCTCTCGCTGCTTTTGATGGTGATGTGCTTAGGATAAAGATGGAAGGTATGGCCAGTCAAATAAGGCATGAAAAGAAAAGAAAATCTACACAAATGGTATGAGGAAAATAAAATGGTTCTTATTTGCAGATAATATCATTGGATGAAAAACTTCAGGGAAATAAGGTACACTAGTAAAAGATAAACAGTGCATGGGTAATGAGAGAAGAGGGTAGAACGGGAGCTGTGGAGGAAGAAGGAACCCTAAACATAATTAAGTGAATTAATCAGGGTCATGGAGTACAAGGTAAACTCACCACAGTATCCATGGGAAACTGGTTGTTAGACTTCCTGAAAATTAAAACATGCACAAATGCTCAGGAGTCTCAAATAAAATGATGGCAAATGTCCACCTCCTGTAATGTTCTCTAGACAAGTTACAATACACAGTGTGCTGTTAACGAGGTGAAAAGAGGTGTTAAGACAAGCAAAAGTCATCATCGGTACATGTCAGAACTGACAATTCATCTCTAGGAACCCAGAAGTATAGAGGCTGTGTTATACTCCTGGATATTATAAATGGACAGGTGACCACCAAAAAAATACCACTTATAACAGCCCAAATAATGAGGCAGTCATAAAATTAACAAATAATGTGCAAGACTGAAAAACTGTAAAACAGAGAACTATGGCTCAGCATAGTAAAATGCAATTCCCTGAAAATTAATATACAGATTTAGTATAATTCCTATCAAAGTCCCAGAATAATTTTAGTAGTTACAGAAAAGGTTTTTTCTTAAATTTATATGTAAAGGAAAAGGAACTATAGTAAGACAATTTTGAAAAGGAATAAAAACTACCCTATTTTAGTGCATTATTTTCTACAATAATCAAGACTGTGTATCAAGATATGGACATATAAATCAATTGAACAGAGTAGAAATTGTATAGATAAACTTCTGAAAATATGCCAAGTGATTTTTGACAAAACTGCAAACGTACCTCAACAGGGAAAAGATAGTCATTTGAAGTAAATGGGGCTAAAGCAATCAGACACCCATTTAAAAAAAAAAAAAAAGAAAAGAAAAGAAAAAGAAATGAACGGCCATGGAAATGTCACACTTTATACAAAAGTTAGCTCTGTGGACTGGCGGGGAGGGAAAACTCGCACAAAGCTAGTAAAGTAATAGAACTCAGAATAAAGCCACCCAACATTTAGGGAAAACAATGAGAAAGCAACCTTCAGGGTCTGAGACATCAGTAACATATAGGAGTGCAGGAGTGAGAGCTGTAAATTTCCTTAAAGCTACAACTCAGAGCATAACCCATAGAGGAAAAAGATAGACAAATTGGTCTGCCTCAAAATCAAAGCCACTTGCTAGGAAAAGATCCCATTAATAATGTAAAAGGAGATCTATAGACTCTGATAAAGTATTTGCAAACTATGTATCCAACAAAGGGTTAGTATCTACAATATGGTGTTTAAACATTTCAAAGTCAAGCACTTTACTAATCCAGTTATAAAATGGACAAAACACATAAAGAGATGAATTACTAGGGATTAGATACACACAGCACATAATCACATGATATGTTATTCAGTATCATTGGCCATTCAATATCAATGTTCAATATCAATGTTTATTTCAACCTTGATGAGGTCTCACTAAGAAAGTATCAAAAACAACCAAAAGACACTCTAATGGCTGTGGCATGTTCTAGCAAGAATGTGGAGGGACTGGGTCTACTGTACACTGCTGTAAGAATACCAAATTCTTTCAGAAGATGTGATAGTTTGAATGTAATTAGCCCCCATAAGCTCATAGACAGTAGCACTATTAGGAGGTGTGGCATTGTTGGAGGCAGGCTTAGAGGTCTCATATATGCTCAAGCCACACCCAGTGAGACAGTTCACTTCCTGTTGTCTGCCCATCAACAGGTAGGGCTCTCAGCTCCAGGACCATGTTTGCCTGCATGCCACCACATCCCACCATGATAAT